GTGCCTTGCCTAATGTCACAAACCAAACACATGGCAGCGAGGGCATTTGAACTTCAGCCGGTCTAACTGCAGGGCCTCCCGCCTGCCTCCAGCCCCTTGAAGTCCTCGCCAAACGCAAGGCCACCAAATGCAGCACAGCATCTTGGGTTTGAGCCTGGGACAGAAAAAGGATGTTAGTGAGAACAACTGTTGAAATCCCAATAGCATCGTAAATACTTGTAGTCATGTACCAACCTTAGTTTCTTAGCTGTGACTAATGTCTCATGGTTATGTAAGATGCTAGTATTAAAGAAACTGGGTATGTAGAAACTGTTTCCTGTCTTCACAACTTTTCTGTACATCTAAAATTATTCCCAAATTTAAACATTTACTTAAAAAAGAAGAAGGAAGAAAGGCTACTAGACAGGCACACGCATCGTGTACATATTCCCACGTTGGCTTAGGACCCCTGGGAGTTGGTCCATGACTTCTGTCACCTCAGGTGCATTCTGCCCGTGATGTGGAACCAGAGAGCGGCCAGTCCTGCCTTTTCCAGTTCGTTCCTGATTCCCTCAAGGAGAACGCCTGGGCTTGGTGCCAGCAGTCTTGACAGGCATCGTACGCCTGCTCATTTTCTTCTTGAACAAAGTAGATCTCAGGCTGGGGGCTGCAGCAGGCAATGGCAGCCTGGGCGGAATTACATCACTGGGTTGGTTTTGTGGTGTGTATTTTTCGTTAATTTCTATTTGTGGCAAGTGTTCTCGGTTTCTATATATGATTATGATATTAATTTTTCTATTTAAACAAATTCATTTTTTTAAAAATTAAGATCAATCTTGAGTAAATCATTGTACAAAAGAAATGAGGAGTCAGCCACCATCATAAAAGTAGTTCAGGAATGAATGAAATTTGAGAAACTGAGCAGAAATGCAAAGCATGTTTCCCAAAGCCAAAGGATGCCTTGGCCTTGCACTCCTGTTGTCACACCTGAGCAGTGACGTGGTGACACAGTAGGGTGGACATGCTCTCCTGGCTGAGCCTGGATGGAAGGAAGCTGCCCAGGTGACCCTGAGCTCTCACCTGGCTTTTCCACACCTGACCCACTGCCTGGCACATAGTAGATACTCAATAAGTATCTGTTGACTAAATGAATGCATGGAAGAATTAATGTGTAGGTGAAACTTTGGAGCCAGTTCTATCATTTCCAGCGTGAGCGCCAAAGTATCGTCAGAGATAGAATGGTGGCCCCATCGTCGCATAAATGGGAACCCGAAGCCCAGGAAGGAGAAGGCATTTGCCTAAGAAACATAGTCAGCATCTGGGAAAGCAGGGCTGGGACCTAGGACTTCCTACCTGTAATTACCCTGCCAGCACACCAGCCTGTCACTCCTGGCGTGTGCCCGTATGAGTGACCTCCGCCTGCACAAACAGGAAACCAGCCTCCTGGCACCCTGGGTGTACTCGAAAAGCCATCTGCTTGGAAGCTGCACAAAGGCTTTCTGCACCTCATGAAAAATCAAGCTGGATCACGTCAAAGGGGCCTTTGAACTTCGGGTTTCTGACGTTGGTAGCTTTCATTCTTGGTTGGGGCTAGCCCCCCTCCTATCATCAAGTACACCCGCGCGTGGGCATCTCGCGGGTCAGAAGGCTCCAGAGGCTGATTGTGCAACAGAGGCTATGGAGAGCAGAGCCACAAAATCTACTGTCTCGGTGGTGTCACTTTCCCAGTGAGGCCAGCCTGACCGCCACAAGCACCACCAGCAACTCCGGTCACCTTTACCCGCTCTACTTAATGTTCTTATTCATTTATTAACCCTATTGTTTATCGTCCGTCTGGAATGTGCATAAGAGCAAGGAGCTTTGTATATTTTGTTCACGGATATGTCTCAAGCCCCTAGAACAGTTCCTGGCACAGAGTAGACACCCAGCAAATATTAGCTGGATGGATGGATGGATGGATGAACAAATGCCCCAAAGAGTCCCAGCTCTGTGGCTTTCTAGCTGTAGGACCACAAGCAAATTGTGTGGTCTTCTTGAGTCTGTTTTCTCACCAGTCGAATGGGATGGTCCCACTAACTGGAAGAGTTGGTGGGTTCAAGAGTTGGTGGCTTTGTGAAGGCACCTCTGCAGTGCTAAGGTCTGAGAGCTATTCAGTGAGTGCTGGTTACAGCAAAGTCAAAATCCATTCATTCATTCATTCATTCACTCAATCGTTCATCCGGTCAGTCAGGCCACAAGCATGTGGCCTGGGAAGGCTTCTTAGGCGGAACAGGATGATTGACACCTGAGAGGAACTGGTGGGAGTGGGAGAGGATGGGGAACAAGGAGCATCCGGCAGACTGGGGTGGCATGAGCGGACTCAGCGAGGTGGCAGCACCGAGGGCGTTGTTTGGCAGGCTCACAGGGAGAAGCGGGCATGTAACTCTCCCTCCCCGAGGAGAGGAGGGCTCTGGAGGGGGTTGGCGGGTCTGGAACATGGGCGGTTGATATGGCAGGCTTCTTTTCCAGGAAGCATACCCTGAGCTTGTTCTCCATGACACACACTAGCCTGGCCACTGGGGACACAGGAAAACCCAGTCTGCAGCCAGAAGGACACTTACAACCCACGAGTTTGCCTGAGTCACCCTCCAACTAAACACCCACAACAGCGCATTCTGGTTCTTCAGTTGAAGTCCAGCATCCTCCGTGTGGCCCATGAGTCCCCAGCCTGCCTCTCCAGCCCACCTCCTGTGCCCTGATTTTCTTGCTCTGACAATATTAATCTCATTTCAGTTCCTTGTCCATGCCACCTTCCCACCCCAGGGCCTTTGTACATGCTGTTCCTTCTGCTTGGTAATCTCCCTGTTCCCTATCCCAACTTCTTCCCCTTATTTTTTTCCCGCAGGTAGAATTTATGTCTGTAGGTAAGAATGAAACTAGGGCTGTGAAGTAGGAAATCAATAGAAAAATATTTAAGATGTGCAGCAGTCATGTTTAGAATACTTAGTTAAAAGGAAGATGAATAAAGCTTATGCTTTATTTATGAAATTAGAGCTTATGCTCAATTTCTATTTGAAAGACCAACCAGTATGTTATATATTAGTAACTATACTGGGAAAAACACAGGTATATGCAGTTTTAATTAAAAGCTATAGTCCGAAACCCAGATAAGCTGCCAGCACTCAGACCTCTCCCCAGTTGTCACACCCTGAAGCCCTTCCTGAGCCTCCACACTGAGCCAGACCCTCCTGCTACAATTCTCAAAGCACACGACAATCATCTTTCATTGTTCTCACCGGAGATCACGATCCTAAGTTGATGTGTGTGGTTACTCTACACATGGCTGCTTCTCCCACCGGATATTAATTCCGTGAAGGCAGGGGCCAGGTCTGTTTGTATCAGCCGCTAGTCCAGGGATCGCTGCCCCATAAGTCCCTGTGTAATGTTGGATTCCTTGCAGCCCACATAGGGGTGGAAAGAAAACTCAGACCCAGGAGCCATCACAATGCATGAAGACGAGTGCTTTATTGAAGGGCTGCTCGGAAGATGCCAGAAAGGTAGAGAAAAGTTCTTGGACGGACTGGGTGTTAGAGGGTGAAGGAGCTCGTTAGGCAGGAGGCAAGCATTCCTGGTCATGGGAAAGGCACACGCCTGGAGCACAGTTCTAAAAGACAGCTGGTCGTCACGGGTGGTAGGAGATCCTGGCAGTGGCTCTGCTGAATGCCTGCTACGTGCCAGGCATGGCTTCTGTGCCATCTCATGTAACCCTCAGAGCACCTCAGCCCCATGAGGTAGGTATTATTACCCCCCTTTCAATAAATGAGGGAGGGACTGAGGCTCAGAAGGGCTAAATGGCATGCTCAAGTCACCCAGCTTCCAAGTGGCTTACCTGACTGTCGCATGTCCCCAGTGGCGTATACTGCAGACCTTAAACAGCTAGTGTGTGTCTGGCGTCTTCCCACCCCTACCCCCTCAGGCTGGTGCAGGGGAAACGGGGATGACGATCGGCAAAGCACCCTGTGGAGACTCCCAGCTTTTTGTCCCTCGTGGGTGTCCCTCGTGCAGGCTCTCAGCCTTCTGCCCCACCCCACCTTCTCAGAGAGAGGCTGCCTACTCTGGCGCTTCCTGATCTTAGCACTGCCCACCGAAACTAGCCCAACTCCTCTGCAGGCTGCCTTCTCCGCCAGCCTGTGTGTGGCCTCCAGGGCCCTGCGCATGCCCAGGTTGGAGGAGGAGGCGTTTGCTGAACGCACGCGTGCCTCAGGGAGCGGGGCAGCCGTGTACCCGCGAGAGGGGCTGAGGAATGACCAGCCGGCACCCAGGCCCACGTGGAACCCCTCTCTTCCTGCCGCAAACCGCGAGGCCACAGGGAAGTCGCTTCACCTCTCTGAGCCTCAGTTTCCACAGTTGTGCTGGAAACGAGAATGCCCCATGCTCGTAACCTAAATAGCCCCGTGAGCCCTGGTGCCCACTAGTGGTCATAGGCAGGCCCTGCAGGGCCATGTTTTGGGGGGCAGGGATCCTGTTCACTCTGCAGCTGAGCTTGCTAACAGGTTCAAAGGCCAGGCTCTGCTTCTTGTGCTCTGGAGTCAGACAAGATTGGCATTGAATTCTAGCTATAGCCTCTGTAGGTTGCCTCCTTCTAGTGCTGGGACAGCCCCACGTTTTTCCGTCCACCTGGATGCCTGCCTGAGCCCAGAGCTGCTATGCGGACTCTCTGGGAGAGAGAACTTCGTAGTGCACATGCCAAAGACCCAAGGCCAAGGGCTCACACAGGTGAACTAACTTTTCTAAAGCAGGGTGCTAGTTGCCTTAGAGCCCCAGAAGGGAGTATCATTGTCTTTATCTCAGAAATACCGAAATAGAGGCTCAGGGAGGGTGTGTGGCTTTCCCAAAGACACTTCATTACTAAGATTTGAAACCAGGTCCCTCTCGCTCTGAAGGCCAGATGCTCGCCTTGGCTCAAAGCTGCCTCAAATTATGCACCAACAGTCAGCAGACCTGTGAGGGTGTTTATTAAATCATAAAACTTCTCTGCCTGCCAGTGGGAGAGGAGTCACTGCCTGCCAAGTGGATGTGGGTGGGGTGTCTCATCCCAGCCTTTGAATGAGCAGGGAGGGGACAAAGCACGAGGCCCCGAGAGCCAGCAGCGCTGCCTCTTTGGATGGTCTTGGGAGCATATGATGATGTGGGATTAGATCAGAATGTCCCTGTGGTCTCAGTCCCAGGGAGATGAAGCGTTTTCAGCCCCAGGCCATGGCTGGGGTCGGCAGCAAACCGGACTTGCTCCTTATGTTCCACTAGGGTTAGCAATCTTTCCCATGAAGATCACGGTGCGCGTGGCGTCCTCTGTAATCATCAGCAGGAAGGAGCGGTTCAGCTTGAAGTTTAACGGCATCTCCATGGGCAGCGTCTGCATTCCTGAGGCCGCGGCTGCCTCCGTGCCCTTTTCATCCATCTTCAGCTTAGCCTTGTGCACCGCCTGTGGGAACCAGGAACAAGGGCAGTGCCAAGCCACTCGGAGACCAGGGCTGAGCCGAGGACAATGAGAGGCTCAGAGAGGGAGAGGCCTTAGCCGAAGTTGCCCAGCACAGCAGTACCTTAGCTGGTGCCAGCCTCCCTGGGGCTTCTATGTCATATGATACCACTAACGGATGCTGAACAAGCAGATGCAGCGTCAAAAAAAACCCATAATGCAGGGGGAGCGGGAGCTATGAGGGATGGGGTGGGGGAGGCTGGCGGGCGGAGTGGCGTTTGCTATCCTTCCTGGGAATTATAGGGACGCGTCAATGGTTAAAATGGAAGAAGGTGTTTGTTGAGCTTTAACTTAGCGAGATGGGAGGGAGGTGGTGACATCCTGCCCGGAAGCCTCCAGCCCCCTCCACACGCCTTTCCTCCACCTGGTGGATGGTCGGTGGATGGTAAAGAGGGAGCCAAATTTCAGGACAGCTGTTGGAGACGACTTGGACCCCAGATCCATCCCAATATCTATCGACATCTGTGACTAAGTGATCGACACTGGAAAATGGATGGGCTTCTGCAAACGAGTGACGCATTTCATGCCAGTGTACCAAATCCTAACAGTTTTCTAGCAGGCCAATATCCATTGCTCTCATGTAGATTCACGGCTATCAGCACACCTCATTGCAGAGGGAAACGAGCTATTGAACTCAATCAGGCCTGCAGGAAAGGGGTGGTTGGCACTGAATGTTTATAGGAAACCGATGACAGGAAAACTTAGAAGTGAGACAACTCTACTAAGAAAGACTGTCTTTCTCCCTCTTGCAAACTGGAATAAATCTGACTGAGTACTTGGCAACTTGGATTCCTCCCAGGTGGGCTTGATCTTCACGCGCAGTCCCAGATAATCCCCACCATCCACTACTTGTTTTCCTACGACCCAGCCCTTGGCCATGCTGCTGCCCCTACTGGAAGGGCCTCCCCAAACCCGTCTCTGCTCATTGACATCTTTCCTACCACAATGCCTTTTTCACCTAAAAGTAAGGTTCCAGATAAAATACAGGATGTGCAGTTACATTTTAATTTCAGATAAATGATGAATATTTTTAGTGTAAGTATATCCCATGAAATAGTTGAGACGTTTTTATACTAAAAACAAACAAACAAAACTAATCGCTTATCTGAAATTTAAATTTAACTGGATGTCCTGTATTCTGTCTGCTAAACCTGGGAACCCTACCCATCTCTTCCTCTCTGCTTGCCCCTAACAGGCAGGTGCTCAGCCTTGTGGCGACCACAGGTCCTTTGCTTGCTCATCTCTTCATCATGTAGACCATGTTTACGATTTACTCCTAACAGGCCCATGAAGCCTTGGAGAAAGGGTCTGGGTCAGACTCAGACCCCTTCCAGACCTCATGAAGGGTCTGGACCTTCCCCAATTGTTTGTTGCACTGAAGTGACTTTCAAAATAGCACCAGGAGATTGGTTCTAATTTTAAAGACTAAAAACATGAGGCTTAGGGAGGTTCATGACTCGCCCAGGATCTCATGGCTGGTAGGGGGGCAGAGCTGGGTTCAAGCTCAGCCTCTCTGGTGGGTGGAATCCTGGCTCGTACAGCTGCTGTAACAGAAGCTCTGGCCCGGGACTGTGTGAAGGCTCCCCATGCTGGCGGGTCCAGGCTCAGACCACGCAGGCTTACCTCACCCACTTTCAGGCTTCGATTAGGGATGATTTTGGTGAGATCATCGTGCTCCTCAAAGATTTTGGTGATACCCAGGTGGGAGAGGGTCTTCTTCAAGTTGTAGGTACCAGTGATGGAGAACCTGGGCAAGTACACGTCTACAACCCTAGGGAGTGGGGAGTGACAAAGGTGAGCAACAAGGTTCTGCCCTTTTCCAGGGCAGGTCCCCAGGACAGATAGTGAATAAGACATTTGTCTTCCCAGACCCGGAAGTCTCAGACTCTCTTTATCCACAGAATGAGGAGGAGTTCCTTAACCTTGGGGCCCTGGTTTAGAAATAGCCATGCTTTCTGAACTATGTCCCTGCTTCTTATCCAACCCACTCCAGAGCCTCATCACAGAAATGTTCTCAAGTCTCCACTGCCTCAGGGTCCCTTCAGCTGCAGCCGCTAAGGTCTCCCCACTGCGGTCTCAGCCACGCGCAGGCCCTGAGCCCACTCTGACCCCAGCAGGCCTGACACTAGAGGTGGCGGGGCCCCGAGAGCTGAAGCCAGGCAGAGCTCAGCTCACATTTATTCTGCCTCTCATGAGCTCTGTGACTTGGAGCAAATGATCTGACCTCTCCAAGCCACCTGTGTGAGAACGATGGTGGTAATCATAGCACCCGGGGACCATAAGAGTGCTAAAGAAAATGCACGTTAGGTTCTCAGCAGGGTCAGCGATCAGCAGGTGTTCATCACTTGCCCTGGAGTTAGCAGCAGCTTCCCATCCTCTGTGGGTGGCACCTGGGTTGGCCTCTCTGCCCGGGACCTGTGGTCAGGTGTCCATGAGGTACCTGCGAGCCCTGGATTCCTGTCCACCTGGCCCCAAACCCCATTTCTTCTTGCCTCTCCAAGAACCTCATTCCTGCCTACGTTTCCTCTTTCTTCCGCACCACCTATAAATGATGTCTACCTGATGAGTCTCAGGAGCGGACCACCTGCTATAATAGCCCCTATCTTAAAAAAACAAAAGCAAAAACAATCTCCATTGGCCCTGAGTCACCTCTGCACCTCCCGGCCCATATCGTTTCTTTCATTCATAGCAAAAGCCGTATCTACCAGTAATCTCCACTTCCTCCCATTATTGCCTCAACTTACTCCAGTCAGGCCTTTGTCCTCCACATGCTACCAAAGCAGCTCTTCCCAGAATTACTGCCGGCATCAGCTTGCTGGACCCAACAGCCAACTCTCAGAGGCCTGTACTAGACGGTCGACCCATTTTTCCATCGTGACACATTCCAACCCAAATCCAGGCCCTCCTGCTATCCCCTCCTTCACCAGCCACTCCTTCTCTCACCCTTTGTTGCTTCCACCTCATTGCCCGTCTCATCGCTGTGATGCTTCAAGCCTCAGACCTTGGTCCTCCTCTCTTTGCTATCTTTTCTCCCTCCCAAGGGATTCCATTCAATGTCATGGCTTTTTAAAGCTACCAGCAATAGGCCCAATGACTCCCAAACTTACCTTTCCACTTATCCATTCATTCAACAAATGGATTTGTTAAATGCCAGCCACTGTTCTAGATGCTTAGGTGCATCCGTGAACAAAACAGGCAAAAGTCCACGCCCTTGAGTTTGTCTTTAGCAGGGAAGACAGGCAATAAAATCAACACCACAAAAATCATAGTGTAGCGTGGATGCATAGACTGGCAGTCTACGCATGAGAAGGCAGTATGTGCATGGAAAAAAAAAATACAGATTCCCTCACAGAAATCAGGAATTCTGGAGTAAAGGGAAGGTTTGAGCAAACTTGGAAGGAGCCAAAGGAGTTAGGCAAGTTACATTTTGGGTTTTTTGTTTGTTTGTTTGTTTGTTTGTTTGTTTGTTTGTTTGTTTGTTTGTTTTCTAAGTGAAGTGAAGAGTCACAGTAGGGTTTTGAACAGAGGAGTAACATGGTCTTGCTTAGGGTTTAAAAGGATCATTTTCGTCTGCTCTGTTAAGAATATACTCTTGGTGGCAAGGGACAGGAACACATGTCTTATTCACTATCTGCCCCGGGGACCTGCCCTGGAAAAGGGCAGAACCTTGTTGGCTCACCTTTGTCACTACCCACTCCCTGGGCCATTTGGAGACCAGATGTTGGGAGTTATAGAGATGGCAAGAAGGGATCAGACTCCAGATATTTTTTAATGGGATCCCCTGACAGACTGAATGAGGGGCTGCGGAGGAGAGAGTGATCAGGTAGGTCCTCAAGGTGTTTAGTTTGGGCAGCTAGAAAGATGGAGTCACTGTGGAATGAAATCAGAAGCTGGAGGATGTTCCATGGGATGTCTGTTCCCTACACTTTGAGACTAAGACTTTGCCAGGCATCCAGGAGAAATCCTGGATAAGTAGACGGATCTGTGACCCTGGAGTTTGGAAGAGAGGACTCCGGCTAGGGCCAGAATAGCATGGAAGCTGGGATAATACAGATGGCGTTGAAAGCTGTGAGCCTAATGCATGCATTAAGGGGGTGACTATCAGTGGAAAAGGGGCCTGAGGAGTGAGCCCCACGCCACTCAACTCTGAGACCTGGAGGAGAAGGGGGTAGGTGAGAGGAACCAAGAGACTGTGGGGGCCTGGAAGCCAAGTAAAGAACACCTCTTCAGAAGGTAGGGTGAGCCACTGGGTCAAATGTTGCTGACAGGTTGAGAAAGGTCTGAAACAAGCCACATGAATTCTCTTGGTGATTGAAGCCTCCATGGAGGTGAGTGCAAAAGGCTGACTGGAGCGGGTTTAAGAGAGGATGGGAGGAGAGAAGCTGTGGACAGTGGACAGAGGCAAATTGCTTCCAGGTATTTACCTGGAAAAGGGAGCAAAAAACCCAGAGCAATATGGGGGAAGTAGGGTCAGGAGATGATTGTTTTATGATGGGAGGAATAGCAGCATCTTCATATCCGATGGAAATGATTCGGTAGAGAGCAAACACATTTGCTGATGTAGGAAAGAAAAGAGTGTTTAAGGTGATACTCCTGAGTAGTGAGAGGAGGTAGGAGCCGGTACGTTAATGGGGAGAATGGCTTTATGACAAAGTGGGAAGGCAGAAAATGTGAGGCCGATGCTGGAAGGTGGCTTCATATCACAGTAAATATGTCAGGATATGATGGGGTACTCAGGCTAGGAGTGGACCCTTGAAATGGACCCTTGAAAAAGGGAAATGGATGTTTCAAAGTCACTGGCAACTTGTGCCTCCTACAGGTGGAGATTTCCATTTGCCTTTGGGGAAACTGAGCCTTTCATCTGGGGAATCCACCACAGCGGCTTCTAATTATGTAGATACAAAGCAGGAATCTGTCTTCAGTGCAGAGCCCGGGCTGCAGCCATCCGCAGCCTAAATTCCCAAGTGTGCTGGGCCTGTGTCTTTTAGGTGTGTGCCTGCTGACTTGGTCACTTCCCCTGGGGAAAGGGTGAGTTTTCTCCTCAGCCTGTCCTAGGCCTGGTCTGGAGGAGACTGCAGAAAGAGCACACAGGAAGGGCCCGTCTGCCTGCCCTCTGCCATTGCGGACCATTGGAGTGGTCTAGACTTGGCAAGTTGTCCCCCAGACCCCATGAGCTCAGAAGGTAGGAATGTTGACCTACTGTGTTCTGATGGAATGTAGTTTTCCCCTCTGGGAACCATGGACAAGGGCACTTCCCTGAAAGAGGATATAAAGATTCCCATGGCGGGTGGACGTTACTGCTCTCAGTCACCCTGGGGCCAGATGTGACTGGGAAGGCAGGACCTTGTCTGCCCTGGGAGAAACAATCCTTTCCATGGTCCTCCCGGCAGGGAGGCCTGGCCTAAGGACAAAAATGCTGGAAGAAGTCCTAGCATGATTCAGGAACACACTGGGGTTAGCTAGGAGGGCACTCTGGATAAGACCCTAAAGGAAGCCTGCACTTGAACTCCACGAGAAGCCACTTCTATGTACTGTAAGTATCCCTGGGTTCTGCTATCCTCAGACCTCCAGTAAGGCCTGTGCTGGCCCGTGGGAAATCTCACAGGGCCTTGAGTAGAGGAGCAAAGGGTCCACTCCTGTGGACCATCTCCTGAAACCAGAGAACAGATGGCAGCCCCCCAGAGAGATCTGGGTGCGGTGAGAAGTGCCCCTATAGTGGTCTCAGCTCTGGGGGCTACAGAGGGGCTTGGCGAAGGGAACATGAAACACACTTGCTGGCCCGGAGCTGCAGCCCCATGAGAAATTGTCAGTAATAACTTGGAGATGGGGGGGGGGATAAGAGCTCAGTAAATCTGGGATAGAAGAAGGAAAGAGAGTAGGAGAAAAGGGAAGAAGAAGGAAGAAACTGCATACACCAGGCGCCCTCTGTACCTTTGCTTGACTAGTTTTTTCCATCTGTAAAAAGTGTCCAGCCTCAAGGCCTTCTCCACTTGCTCCTTCTTGCCCTCCTCAGGAAGAATGAATGTCGCTGTGAAGCTGTTCTTGTAGGGCATTTCCAGGACAGTGCAGCCGAGCTGGTCATCACGGCCAACTTTATACATGCCCGCACGAAACATCATGGGCACCTTCACTGTCTTGTTGCCATCCAGAGTGAAATCTTCCTGCTTTGTTAATTTTGGATCAAACTCATGTTGCCATGTGGCTTCAGATAAAGAAAGACAAAGTGGCATTATTGTTCTGAGGGAGAATAGGTGACCGGATCTAGCTAACCACTGTTTTCTGTCCACATGGATTCAAGGAAAGGGGTTCGAATACTCTGAGATATCAGGACAGATTCCCCGGAACCCGTGCCCTCATGCCATGCCCCCAGAGCCCCCAGTATAGGCTTCTGAGGGCCAAGTTCCTGACTTCAACTTCTAGCTTTACTCTTTTAGAAGGATAACCCTGGACATGAGTCATAACCTCCCTGGGCTTCAGCGTCCTTATCTGCAGAATAGGGATATTGACGGGTACCTGATAGGACTGGTGTGAAACTGGGACATGGCAGCACTGCTTAATAACTGTGTATAGTAAGTGTTGAATGGATGCTAGTCATCATCAGCGTCCTTGTCACCATTGTCCTTATAATCTAGGGGGTATAGGGACTTCGGGAAATTCCAAATTCTCCTTTCTCCTTCTGCTTTGGGCAGATGGAGCTTTCAGTCTACCATTATCATCCTTTTTTTTTTCTTCTATTACCATCATGCTCCCTGTGGATTTTGGGATATCTGAACTTCCATATTTAGAACGATGTTGCTGACAGCCCAGCAGTAATCTTGCTTGGCTGAGGGCTGTTGGCCTCTGATTCTCACCTATGTTGGCCAACCTTTGTGTGTGCATGTGGTGTGTGAGTAGGTGTGTATGGTCAGGGGGATGGTGCTTGGATTTGGGAATACTCTTCCACTTTCTTTTCAGTCTCTCACCCTAAGATTTGGAAATTTACAAATTCAGATAGGAGACCAAGGCCCCCACCAAAGTGATCATCATTACCATCATCAACAACACCATCACCATTCTGGGCATCTACTTGGAGTGATGGGAAGTGCATAGCCCCTGGGCCAAGAAAAGTGGGGTTTTTTGTCCTTTCATTGACTGGCTTTGTAACTGAGTAAGTCAATTACTATCTCCTTGAATTTCACTTTCCTCATCTAAGAAATGAGGCAAAGAATGTCACTGCAACCTCTACAACAGTGTTGTGTTAGTATGATCAGTAATAATGAAAATGCACACATGGAGAATAATTTAGACTTCACAAAGTTCATTTCACATACATTTTCACTTTGAATCCCAATAACTGTCCGGTGAGTTACATGTAAAGGTACTCATTTTGCAGATGGGAAAAGTGAGGCTCTGAGAAATTACTTATGAATTCAAGGTCACAGTGCAAGCAAGTGGCCAATGCAGGGTTTAAATCCAAGTCTACCGGTCATCCTATCTTTTCCATTTCAGCATGTCCTTTTCCAAGCCTTACCTTGAAAGAAAATGTAATTTCCAAGGACCATCACAGTGCCAGGATCTATATTCTTGATCAGGTTATCAATTTTCCCCTGGGTTTTCTGACTGATATAGTCATTGATCTGCTTCTCAGTGTTTTTCAAGTTCTGGAAGTTGGTAGGGATGATGTCTGCGTTGTACAGGTTCTTGCTATCCATCAGAAACTTCTTCATTGGCCGCAGCCTCTGATCGATGAACAAGGTGTTCCCAAAGCTCAGCTTGAGGTCCTGGTTCCACTGGTTCAGTCTGCAGATGAGGTCATGGAAGCCCTCATGGAGGTCCTTCTCCGGTATATTCCCGAAGTTGAGGCCATTTTTAATCTCAGCCAGCGTGGATTCCTGGGCACCCAGACACAGCATGGAGAAGGCTGTAGAGATGCTCACAGGGGAAAAGAAGATGTTCTTGCTGTGGCCAGTGGAGGCCATCTTCTTGTACAGCTTGAAGCCAAAGTCCATGTTCCGCCTTGCCAGCTCTTGGGCCACGGCCTTCCACTGCTGGGCCCGGCTCATAGCTCCATGATTCTTTGGAGAGAAGTTGGGCTTCAGGAGACCTTCCACAGCGAGGAGGCCAGCCAGAAGCAGGCCCAGGCCCACCATGGAGTTCATTTTTCCTTGGAGATGGTCCTGTGGAGTGGTAGACCTGAGATTAGTGGGAAAAAGAACACAAGGAACCCATTGCCCCTATCTTCTCCACAAGGAAGACCAGATGAAAGGAGTTATATAGTGACTAGCGTGTGCTGTGCATAGTGGTTTATCAGGGTTTTGACGTCCATGATAGCATTTAAACTTTACAGTCACCCTGGGGACTAGCAATGGTGGTCCCCATCTCATAAGTGAGAGACCTGAGCATAGGAAACAGCTCCTGTTTTTGTACCTGTCTCCCCCATCTTATGGTGACAGATTCTCAATTCCTTTGAGGGACCGCTCTTTCCACTCCACGTGATCACAATGAGAAAAACCCACAGGGAGGGCATGTGGCCCAAAATACTTCATCACGTCACACTGATTGATAAAGAAATGTGAGTGCGGGGCTGGCCGAATGGCACATTGGTTAGGAGCTGGCTTGGGACGCCAGCTCTGAGCAGCAGGGCCCCAGTTTGGATCCCACAGGAGGGCCAGCGACACTACGCCCTCTACAGCTAAGATGGTGAACAACAGCTCAACCTGGAGCTGGGCTGCCATGAGTTGCCGGCGATGGTGTAGGCTGCAGTGGGGCTGGCCAGTAGCGGGTGTGAGCTTTTGTGCGCTGCCATGAACCACTGTGCGTGGCTGTCCAATGGCCAGTGAACAACTGCCTCACTTGGGAAGAGTGCAATGATAATACCAACTTGGGTCAGTGAAGCGACGTCCTCCACAACTAGACTGAAGAACAAAAGGACAGCAACTTGTCTGTTCTGATTCCCCAGTGCTGTTCCCTTCCCCCAATAAAATCTTAAAATAAATAAGAAATGTGAGTGTGACCGAAATTAGATCAGCCAGGGTCTTTCCCTGAGAATACACAGGCCTCTTAACTCTAGGGTGCCTGGCTTAATGGGGTAACCTTGGGGCCATATGAGGCCATGACTTCCACATGTAGAAGGAGAGAAGAGAGAGACAGGTAGAAAGAGAGAAATGGGGGGAAATTCTTAGTAACATCTTTGGAGTCCCCAGATCGAGCCTTACCTGAAGTCCAGCCACCTCCATTTTTCCAAGTTATGGGCCAATAAATGTCCCTTTTAGGGTTGGCTGGTTTGAGTTGAATGTTTTTCCCTACAACCAAAAGAATCCTGACTAATTTGCAGAAATTAAGCTCTTTGTCTAAGATCCCATGGTCTGTAAGTGGCGGGTGTGCACCCCACAGAACCCAGTTCTCTAGTAAACCTCCTTCCCTGCACCCTTTCTGGGGGCGTGAAAGGGGCGGTGTGGTAGAACGGAAAAGCCATGTCTGCCTGGCACCAGGTCTGCTGCTTCTTTTGCCACCTCTCAGCTTTGACGTCTCCCAGTAGGTCTGTGAGCTTTCGAAGGACAAGAATTTCAGTTTCATTTTTCCTTAATCTCCAGCCCCAGCTGCAGAGAGCCACCAAAAGAATGACCTTCCAAAAGGTGTGTTGGCTTCTGTAGTTGGCCACACTACTGCCAATGATTCTTTGTTTTTTTTTAAAGATTTTTATTGGGGAATTGGGGGGATGGGAACAGTGCTGGGGAATTGGGGGAAGGGGAACAGACAAGTTGCTGTCGGTTTGTTCTTCAGTCTAGTTGTGGAGGACGTTGCTTCACTGGCCCAAGTTGGCACCATCATTGCGCTCTTTCCGGGCGAGGCAGATCAGTTGCCGGCTTTTGGATAGCCGCTCAAGGCAGCTGCTGGCTGCTCACACTGGCTGCTGGCTACACACGGTAGCCCATGGCAACCCATTGCCACAGGAGCTGCAGACTATGCCATCGCCAGCAACGCACAGCAGCCCAGCTCCAGGTTGAGCTGTTGTTCAGCATCTTAGCTGTAGAGGGCAGTGTCACTGGTCCTCATATGAGGGATCCGAACCGGGGCCCTCTGGCATCCCAAGCCAGTTCTTAACCATCGCGCCACTCGGCCGGCCCTGTCAATGATTCTTATACCAATTTCTATATCAAGTAAAGGCAGATTTCTTTGCTTAGTCCTCTGTGATCACTTGCTACCTTTTTTCCTGTAATTTACATCTGTACGTATCTGTAATCTGTGGGAAAGAGAGAGGTCCTCGACGGTAAAGGCTTTCCTTGGCTGTCTTAGCTTGGGTTGCTGAGAAGCAGGGCCTGAGGCAAGGACTCAGGTGTAGGTTGTGTATTGAGGGCGTGCTCTTAGGAGGAGCCCCTTGGGAAGTGAGGGAGGAAGGCAGGAAAGGAAGGAGCTGAGAAAGGCTGTGGCTCCAGGTAAGGTCTAGCCTTGGCCTGACCCCCAGAGGGAGAGCCCTGGAGCATTGAGCCTGTGAGCCAAGGGGCCTGGATTTCAGAGGGGGTCACTCCAGCAGTGGCTGTGGTCTGGGGTATAACTTCCTGAGGCAGTTAGCTCCTATCAGCCAACAACAGGTTTCTGGAGTGGGGAGGGCAGCTGTGAGCTGTTAGCAGCCAACCCTCATAGCACCAGCGGCCTAGGGACTGGGCCCGGCACCCCAGAGTGCACTGAAGCTAAAGCGTAGTGCCTGGCATGGAGGAGGCTCTTTCAGGCTGGCTGAATGAGAGGGTGAATGAACCCTGCACAGGGCTAGCACCTAGGAGCGCCCCATATCCCCATGTCTGTGCCCCCAAGCCCTCTATGCCCAGTACTGTGGATGCAGCCATCTTCAGAGCAAACATGGCTTCAAGGAGTTTGTGGTCTGGAGTATGAAAATTCTAGTGGAGACTACCCATTGTCCCCACAATCCCCTCCATCTTCTTAACTAAACTTTTTTTTTTTGAGTGCTTACCCCTCCCTCAGAGAGCCCATGTACCTCAGGGTCAGGGGCCCTGACTGGGACAGGGTAACCCCAGCTCCCCTGCCAGTGACTGGTTCAGGAACTGGGCCCAATCCAGTCAGTGCGCGGGCGAGGTTCTGTCCTGGTAGTTGTTCAGGGAGGGGCATGGGACTTAAGTGACCCAGTGAGGGTGAGCTTTGGGGCTCTTTGTTAGAATGTTGGGGTGCTGCTCTCTCTCTTCCTCCAGATATCCTGGACAGGAAGGGGGAGATGCCAGGGACTACCACAGCCATTTGCCCCATGAGGGAGGTGACCCTAGGACAAAGCCAGAACTCAAAGAGGGTGCACACAGGGCTTTTCAGAGAAGCTGGAGCTGAGATTAAGATCACCCGGGTGGGCTCGGACCCCACTCTATCTCTAGTCCTCCAGTGGTGCGAGTATGAATCACGTGGTCAGTTACTTGAAGCCCAAAGCATCCTAACAAATGCAAGCTTTGTTAGGATGCATATATACATATATATATATACATATATGTATGCAGATGCATATATACATATATATATATATACATATACATATATACATATATATATATATATGTGTGTGTGTGTATATATATGTGTATATATATATATATATATATATATATATATATATATGCATCCTATGCTTTGTTTTTATATATGGCTTTGTTTTTTGTTCTTTTTAAATGCTGGGACTACCAAGCAGAGTTAGGAGATCTAGCTCTGACCTCATGCTTCATTGCTGTGTGACACTGTGGAAAAGACTTCCCCTCTCTGAGCCTGGGTAATACCTAAGCAGCTTTCACTCCCAATGACACATTTTTTAATAAAAAATTAAAAACAACTGGTGATGAACAAGGGCTCTAGAGGCTTCTAAACATAGATTATAGTAGAGAAGATGAATAAAATCCACAGGGATGCTTCAGGTTAAGGGAAAAAAATAGAAAATGCAATGGAGTCACTCTCTCGGGTTAGTGAACTGGACTGTGTACAAAGTCTGCCTGGGTTAATAATAGAAGCTTCTTGTATTCAAAGGAGCTTGCTACCCCTGTGTGCGCTATTTCCCAGTGCCTAGGAGTGGAGGTGTTTAAACGCTTCCATCCCAGAAACAGTTCCTGACACTGACAGCAGGTGTATGCACACACACACACACACACACACACACACACACACACACACACAGTTTTACAGTGATCCAGTGTAATGACTCCTAAATGTTTTTCCTACCTCATCAAGTTTCGGGAACAAGAACTGATCACAGAATCAGAAGTGTGGATATTGGTGTTCTGCTCACATGTTAGGTGGCATGGAATAAGCTTCTTTACCCTTCAGAGCCTCAGTATTTTCATCTATTAAATGGGGGTGGGTAATACTTGGCCTCCACTGCACTAGATGCTGCAAATCAGCTTGTAGCTCCCACCCCTTGGGACACAGCCTACACCCTGCCGGGTCTCAGCTGCCCCCCACCTCTATACACCTGGGACACAGTAGTCCCCACAGGCCTTCTGCCTAATCCCACTGAGTGCCGACAGCCTAGCCTTTCTCCCCCAAAACAGCCCAACTAACTCTATTTCTGGGTCTTTCCGTCTGTCATCACAGACCCTAAACTGACCCAAACTTGTTAGATGGGTTCCAGTCCCAGATGCCTGAGTAGGCTAATTTTTGTCTGTTTAAACTGGGTGACTGGTTATTTCTCAGTAAATTGATAGATTGCCCAAGCTGAGCAATTCTTTTTTGGTTTTTAGTTTTTTTGAGGGGGGGGGCTGGGTGGAGAGAGAGAGAGAGAGAGAGAGAGAGAGAGAGAGAGAGAGAGAGAGACTCCAGATAAAATAAGTAAACAAAATAAAGAAGAAAAAGAACAAGACAGAACCGGGGCCCTGTGGGGTACACATGGAGCAGACAAAACTAGAGTCAGTACCCCAATTCTTCTCTGACTGTCCTGGTCCCATGTTCCCCATTAACTTGGGAAAATAATTTCTTTCTCTGAGGAACAGATAAAATGGCATGGCGCTGACTTAGGAGTCCTTCATCCAAAGCAGGTACATGCCAGGTATAAGGCAGGAGCCCTCTGGACCAGAACACAGGTGCCTAAGGCCTGCCCACCGAGGAGGTGGCCCATGGCAGGGCTCCCACGCAGGGCAGCCCGCCCACTTTCGTCTCCCACACCATCCTGATAAGCTTAGTAATTGGGATCAGCCAATCAAAACAACAAGGGAGTGGGGATAGTGAGATGTGATGGCACATTTAGCAACAATAATATCTGTAATTTTATCAAGTACTTTCACACTTGTTATCACCAGTATCAAGGGAAACAACACACCGACACAAGGAGCACTCGTGGAATACAAAAGAGACACTCAAGGCTGAGGGGTTTGGAGCTATTTACTTCAGAGGGCAGACACCGCCTCAGCCCTCCCCCGGTCACCTCTCTTGTGACAGTCTGCAAAGCTAGCTCTCATCCCTGTGGTGGAACTGACTGGAAGGAAAAGATTATGTGGTGTCCGTTCTCAAGCCAATGAGACTAAAAAGTTTAGGATGCTTTGGATGACTTCCCATCCCCAGTGGCTGGAGCCCTAATGAGCCAACGTCAGCCAGCCAGGCTGTCCCTACTCGTGCAGAGGCCTCTTCCTGCACCGGCTGGACACAGGCGTCCTGCCTGGAGAACCCCCAGCCTCTTGGAGACCCCAGCTCTCCTCCAATCCCTTCCAGAGTTCCCCACAGAGTGCCCAGTACTTGGAGAGACTCAGGGCTCTCCTTGGGCTGAAAGGGTGTGAGGGGCCCTGATGATGTGCTCTGGCCCCTCAAAAGTTCAGCACCAAAGCCCTTGGACTTGAGGAGAACGTCCCAGGCATGCTCTGTGGCCCACCTATTCTAAGTAGTGTTTTAAGAGATCTCTGTAGACATACTAGAAGTTACTATTTTTTAAAGCAACTTACAACAAAGTGATGGTAAGACACACCCTCCTTCCCCTGGTGGAAGTGAGAGTAGACCCGTAAAAGAAATCTAATGACCACTGCAATCTACTTTATCCTCCTTCCTGGGAAACAAAGAAGATGGAACACAAGTCCATCATCTCACCTCTAAATGTACTCTGGAGACTTCTGCCTTCATTTCTTTAAGAAATATTTTGGGTTCTCACTATGTGCCAGGCTCTGGGGCTCTGAGCCATGCCAAGGAGTGGTCTGTGCTGCTGCTGCTGCTGCTGAGTGGCCCACAGCCTCCTTTGGCACCCAAACACCTAGCTGTCTCTAAGAGACGGTGCCCACAACCAGCCCCACGGACTTCTCCAAGTCCCCAAGCACTTTCCAGCTCTTTGCCTGGCCTGTTCCTCCTGTCTTCAGGACTTCGGACTAGGATGAGGGACTATGTGGGTTGGAAAGATGTAGCAACCATCAGCCTCAGGACCACTGCACTGCAAAGGGGAAACTGAGGCACAGAGTGGATAAAAGAGCTATCTGAGGTCCCAACATGCATTTCGATGGGTCAGAGTGGGAATCCAATACATTAAGGCGATTCTGCATTAAAAAAGGCTGCCTGCCCTCACTTTCTCCATGAAATAGTAAATTGCTGGATGCAGCCCCTGTCCTCAGGGAGAGGCAAGATACACAAACACTCACAGACAAGGCTGACCATGGCCAGGAGCAAAGGGCAGGGCAGACCTGAGTTGGAAATACCCTCTTATCTCCCAAGACAACCCCATCCCCACACCCGCCAAGGAGTCTCTTCTAGAAAAGCACTGAAAATAGTTAGACATCCATGAAGATGAATCAGGGCCTCACTCTTTCAAAGAAGGCTTTCCCAGATGGAAACTCCTCCAGGACTTTCTTCAAGAGCCCTCCCTCGGCCTGGCCTGCCTCCTCTCGCATCTGAAGCAAACTTCATGTGGAATAGAAAAGAAGCACTTGACCTTTTTGGAGGGCACAGACCATACTCACAGTGCATTCAGGAGAAATCCACGGAGCTAGCCAAGGGAGTCTGCTTGTCTTGTTTTATTAGTTATACTTCCATGGCCTCTTGGAATGATAGACTGAGGCCAATAAAATTAGCTGGCTCGAGTGGGCAGGTGATGCAGGCTCAGGAGCAATGCAATGGCGACACCGCCTCCCCGGGGACTTCTCCTCACTACCCAGGCAGCAGGGTGATGTGTAGATCAACACCCCGCTGGGTGGTGGCTTCTCTAATGAAGTCCATTCATATCTTTTGCAACTACTGTGTTTCCCAATCATCATGGGTCTGGAGCCTGGGGTTTTCTACAGGAAGTTCAGCCTGTACTCCTGAACTATTCAACGCACCATCACCGCTGCCATCCATGGGAACGGTTGATAGCTGACTTTCCTGGAGTCCTTTCCTTTATCCTTCATTTCTTTCTTTTGCTCTTTTTCAAATACTTTACAGTTATCAGTGCAATTACCTGAGCTCACATGGAGTCCTTTTGGGGAAGAGAACCAACAAGAGATGAACAGACAGTTAAATACATAGTTTCTGTGAGGTGTAACAGGGATCAAACATTCATCGCAAAGCTTGTGATCATTCAAGAAAGTTACAAATTGTTTTCCAATTGCGTATTTGTTGTGTGGAGTAACGCGACCATGATTGATTTTTCCCCCTTTACTTTTCTGTGTTTTCAGAGTTTCCTTTTATGGACTAGATATTACTTGAGAATTAATTTTTAAACGATTAAAAATAAAATGAAATTCTTATCTGCAGGTTTATCAGAGACAGGAGCCGTGATGGTCAAACCCACTGGTCCTGGGATGAGAGAGCCATGGGCCCAGTGTACTTCCTTACACTTCTTCTTCCTCTGAAGAACTTTAATGAGCAGAAAAAAATCATTAAATAGTCCTTCCCGTGTACTGATGTTTCATGGTGTTGTGTGACCACACAACACCAAGGCGTGTGGACTGTGTCTCCTTCCTGTGGGGTGCTGCTTTTAGCAGAGTCATGACTCTCATGTGAAGCAGGTGCCCCAGTGAAGCCTCTAGAGCAGAGGTGACATTGGCTCTTTCCCAGGCGTGGTTCAACCACATCCTGACGCACTCACAGACCAGACCAGCCAGGCCTTGGGGATGTGGGGCCCCAGACCTGCCAGGATCAGAAAGTGCGCTGAAGGAGGCCCTCAGCGGCCACTTTCCCTCACCCAGGGAGGCAGGCCTGTCTGTGGGAGTGTGTCTGGTCAGATACACCGTGTGACCAGGTGGGGCGAGAGGCCTCCCTGTCTGCCTCTGTTCACTGATGGGTGCAGATGGGAACATGACCCGACACAAGGACGGCCTGAGGGGAGGGTAGTCCCACCATACCGGAAGCTGAGAGCCAGCCAGCCGACGCTGACCCAGAATTCAGGTCTGCTCCCTGGTTTGGGAGGGAAAAACACTGCCTGCTAATGACAGGGTGAGGCCTGTGAGAGTCTGTGGGCCACACCCACTGGCCTGACCCAGACAGACTCTGCTGTAAGGCAAACTCCCATGGGAGAGGCACAGGAGAGGCCCAGGAGGGACAGCACAGGGCTGTCCGGGTGGGGATGCCCACTGAGTGACAGGATGCTGCTCCTGGGATGTCTGAGCTCCGACAGTGCCCAGAGACTGGGAGGCCACAGCAGAGGGTAGCCACAGGTGGTCTAGAGGCCAGGCCTGGCTAGGCGCTAAATCTCAGTAAGGAGTTGCCCACTCCTGCCAGGGAGAAGAACCTTTGGAGGCTTGTTCAACCATCTTGTTCTCCCAGATTCTGGGCCTGTGAGACATCTAGGAACATATTAATGACCATGCCACACCCTGATCCCAGAAACCCAGGTCTGGTGGGAATATAGGAGAATACAAAGAGACAGCTCAGCTTGGTAAAGGCTGAAGTAGGTGCATGCAAAAGGAACCTTATGCCACCTGAAGTGATTGGGACAGTTTCATAGATGGGGCACTCTTGAGCTGGGTTCTGAAGGGTGAGTAGGAGTTCTTTAGGTGAAAACTGATGGCAAGAGTAACACAGCAAAGATCCTGCAGTCTAAAGAAAGTGAGGGAACTATCTGATACCTGTAGAAAACGTGACTTTGAGCTTCTGCTTCCTTTCGGAATAACCTACTTCTAAAGCGGTCATCTCAGCCATGGGAGCACATTAGAATCATCTGGGGGCTTTAAAAATATCCATGTCTTGAATATCCCTCAAGAGATTCTGACTGAGTTGGCCTAGGACCAAGCCTGGGGGAGGGTGCTTTATCCTCAGAAGAACCTCTACTGAGGATTATAATGAGGATCCATGGTTGAGATTCTCTGCTCTAAATCAAGTGATTTCCACCTGATGACTATGGGAAGAAGGTGGGGCGTCTCCGAAGACAGAGCTTCCTGACACCACCAGATATCTAGAATTTCTATAAAGCTATAGCAATTAAGACAGTGAGACGTTGGTACAGAGACAGATAAATTGACCAATGGAACAAACTAGAGAATCCAGGACAATCCTACCCCAAAAAAAGCCATCTGATATGTGACAAAGCACCATAGCAATTAAGCAGGGGAAGGATGGTCCTCTGAACAAATGGTCCTGGAAACACTGGAAATCCATATGGGGGGGAAAAATGAACCTTAACTCCATCCCTCCATACACAAAAATTAATTTAGGAAACTACAGACCTAACCGTGCAAAGTATTAGAATGGACCATATGAAACTGAACCATATCCAATGATTTTTTTTTTACCTCAAAACCCACAATTATCAAAACCACAAAGCTTCTAGAAGAAAATATAATAGAATACCTTCATGACCTTGAGATAGACAAAGGCTTCTTAAACAGCACACACAAAGTACTAACTAACATAAAAAAGAGATAAATTGAACTTCATTAACTTTAAGAACTTTTCTGTTCATCAAAAGTCACTTAAGAGAGTCCAAAGGCAAGCCAGAGACTGACAGATGGTACTTGTAAGACATCTGTCTGATAAAAAACTAGTGACTGATTTTTTAAATTTCTACATATCAATAAGAATAAGACAACTAACAAATAGGCAAAGATTTGAACAAATGCCTCATGAGAGGACCTCTAAATGGCCAATGAGCAGCTGAAAAGGTGCTTAACATAATCGGTCAGCAGGGATATACAAAATAAAACCACAACAACATACCTCTCCACACCCACCAGAGTAGCTAAACTTACTTATTTATTTTTAAAAGTTATTTTTAATTATAGTTGACATGCAGTGTTGTATTGGTTTCAGGTGAACCACAGAATGATTCAATGTTTATATACCTTATGAAGTGATCGCCATAATAAGTCTAGGAATCATCTGTCATTGTACTATTATTATATACTATAGTGATATTATTGACTATATTCCCTATGCTGAGTTATTTTATAACTGGAAGTTTGTACTTCTTAATCCCCTTCCTCTTTTCCATCCATCTCCCTACCCTCTTCCTCTGGCAACCCTCAGTTTGTTCTCTGTATCTATGAATTTGTTTGTTTTGTTTTGTTTGTTCATTTGTTTTTGTGGTTTTTTTTTTCAGATTCCAGATATAAGTGAAATCATATAGTATTCGTCTTTCTCTGTCTGACTTATTTCCCTTAAAATAATACTCTCTAGCTCCATCCATGTTGTCACAAATGACAAGATTTCATTCTTTTTATGGCTGAGTAATATTCTATTTTATATGTATACATATCACATTTTCTTTATCCACTCATCTATTGGTGGACACCGAGGTAGCTTCCATATCTTGGTTATTGTAAACAATGCTGCAATAAATATAGGGGTGTATATCTTTTTGAATTAGTGTTTTGGATTTCTTTGGATAAATACCTAGAAATGGAATTGCTGGGTCATAGGTGGTTCTATTTTTAACTTTTTGTGGAACCTCCATACTGTTTTCCATAGTGGCTGCACCTAGTATTTATAACCCCCACCAACAGTGCACCAGGGTTCCCTTTTCTCCACATCCTTGCCAACACTTTTTGTTTGTTGATTTATTGATAGTAGCCATTGTGACAGGTGCAAGGTGGTATCTCATTGTGGTTTTGATTTGCATTTTCCTGATGACAGAATAGCTAAAATTAAAAGGACTGACAACTCCAGGGCGTGGAGCCAGTAGAACTCTCTTACACGGCTGGTGGGTGTGTAAGCTGGCACATGCACTATGGAAAATTGCTTGGCAGGATCCGTTAAAGCTAAACCCACGTTTACCCTCTGACCCAGTAATTGTATCCCAGGGTTTAGACCCAGAAATGAGTGCTTGTGGGTTCATAAAAGACAAGTACTGGGATGTCCATAACAAGTTTATGTAAATAGCCCCAAAGTAGAAACGACTCAAATGTCCATTAACAGTAGGATGAAAAATAAGAAAGAGTTCAGCCCCCATCCCAGGCCATACTTTCCATTTCCATGGGTGACCCCATGATTCTGTCTTTCACAGGGTCCCCAACTGGTGCTCATCACAGGCAGCCATGGGAGACAATGACCAAGAATGGGAAGTGCTATGGAATCCAAATCACATTAGAACAAATTAAAGAGAACCTCCAAGCAATAAGGTAAATATTGAGTTAATGAAAATGCAACTTTACTCATTAAATTAAGCTCCAATTAGAGCAACGATTTTGAAAGAAAAGTGAGATTTTAAAGCACAAGATCCTAGGTTACCTGAAAGAGGTTTCAGTACAAAATGGTGAGAGTCTTTCCATACAAAAATCTAAGCAAGCAAGAAAAAAATAAGACAAGAAATATAAATATAAGTCATAAGAAATTGAAGTTGCATTATGAAAACAACAAAAGTCAGTGCATTCAAGATAGCATGTCAAAACCATGGCGAAAAGGTGAACAGTTCCATAAATGTTATTGGAAAACCAAAAAAATCGTTTTAAAAATAAAATTTTTTAATATTTAAATTTTTAAAAATTAAAATAAAAAATATTGGAGGAGTATCTTTTTTGTAATATTAGAGTGGGAAAGAACTTCCTAAGCATGACACGTAC